AGTAGTGATTAGCCCTGAAATTCCCGCGGCACCTCGGGCTCATAATTGGCGACTGTAGTCGAGCAGAATTACGGACAACTCCCAACCGATAGCTGCCCTTTTCCCCTAAAAGGAGAGCGTAACCGAAGAATCTACATTTGAGGGCTAGATACTCCCTGGGGGATGCCTTATTAGCGGTTGTCAGATGAGACCTACGACGCCTGGGGGATTCTCGATTTACGCCGATTTTTTTGTGGGTCTGGCGAGTTAGGGGGATCTTCACGTAGCGAAGGTTGAGTCACAGAGGTTTCTCTCGATCTTTTTCGCTCTCTCTCGCTCTCTCTCGCTCTCTCGTTCTCTCGTTCTCTCTCGTTCTCTCTCGTTCTCTCTCGTTCTCTCTCTCTCTCTCTCGTTCTCTCGTTCTCTCGTTCTCTCTCGTTCTCTTTCTCTCTTTCTTTCTCTCTCTCGTCTCTATCTCTCTCTCTCTCGCCTTATTATCATTGTTGATCCACACCCACATCCAGTACTACAAATTACGAATTCCAATTTCCAAAAATTTGCGCAAAATTTATGCGTCTTGAAAAATAGTGCTAACGCACCATCTTGCTTTCTCTCGCTTTTACTTTGTCCCCCTGTCGCTCTCTCTCTCTCTCTCTCTCTCTCTCTCTCTGTCGCTCTCTATCTCAATCTTGTTCTATCGCTCTCTCCCTCTCTCTCATTCTCACTCTCTGTTTCTCTTGCTTGTTTTAGATTATGCTCATAATCCGCCGTAATAATCCGTGCTTTATAAGAACAATGAGGCAACATTATTAATTGCTTAGAGACATAGAGCAGCAGAGGGGGGGGAGAGCGAAAGAGAGAGAGAGAGAGAGAGAGAGAGAGAGAGAGATCACTGTCCCAAGAACTCATGAAAAACCAGGGGTTCTGGCCCCCTTGGGAACGCTTCCGTCTGTGTCCTGATTCCAGTGATACCTGATCTCTAGACAAGGTGTACGCGCTGAACAATAGACATTCGAGAAAGGGCGGAAGCCGTAGTCATTCAATAGTCCCCTCAAAGTCCCATTTCCTGCCCGGCTTCCCCAAGAATTTCTGCTAGATGCTGGGCCGAAAATTAAGTCTACGGATCGATCCTCAGGAATCTATGCTAGCTTGACTTGATGTAGAGTTTTAACGGTTCTGCGCTGTTAGCGGGGGGGGGGGGCAGAGGAAAAGCTGTTGGTGATATATTGTGTATTTTTAAAGTCTTTTTAATAATTTTTGCTTGCTAAGTAATTACAAAAGGTCCCCCCGCTAAAAGTGCCCCCCCCCCCCCCCCCCCCTTAACAGTCCAGAACCCTTTTATCCGCACAAGCCCGTTAAAACGCAACCCACATTAATGGCCACCTAATCCCGCCCACTTCCTGCCGTTCCAAACCCCCCTAATTCTTGGCATAAACTGACCGCCATTCCCCATTTGGGCGCACCGCTTTGTTTATGGAGTGTCGGTGCCTTCCCCCTTTGGCCCCCTTCTGCCCTTGTCGCTAGGATATTTAGTGAAAAGGGGAAGCAAGTTGTGTTCACTCGCGTTTAGTTTGCCCCCTTTTGCCCTCCCTTGGCAGCCAGATGCAATATGATATGCTATGGGCCCTTGTAGCACAAGGGGAGCAGCCCCAGCAGTCCATTCCAAAGCATTGACAACCACTTGTTGCCGGCAATTGCCATTGCTAAGCATAGGCCTAAGCCTAAGCTTATGCAGAAGCTGAGCTTATGTCACTACCGAAGCCTAGGCCTCAGCCAGTGCTTAAGCCTAGGCCCGAGCAAATCCTAGCTTAAGCCTTGTAAGTCTACGCCTAAGTTTAGCGAAATCTAAAACTAAACCTAAGCCAACCCTGAGCAAAGCCTAAGCTAAAGCCTACTCCTAATCCTAAGCATAAAACTTGAGCCTAAGCCTAAGCCTAATCACAAGCTTAGCCTACGCCAAAGCCGAAGCCAAGGCCTGAGCCAAAACAACACCGAAGCTGAAGTTATGGGTACTTTTGCATTATGGGGGGGCGGGGCGGTGGGGAGATTTCAGAGACATACCAAATTTTTTTTATTTATCAACCCATTTTTTCTATAATAGAGCGAGCTTTTCAATGGTTTTCTTGCTGTTTTTAAACGCAAAAAATATAAATTTTGCTAAAAATCCCAAAAAATCGATTTTTCAGGCAAAAGGCTGAGTCAGCTTCTTAGTTTTAGCCGAGAGGTTTTTTTCACTTGAAGTAGCGATAAGCGCAGCTAAAAACACAACTAAAATATTTACGATTAGGTTACTAGGCTCTTCTCGATAACCCCCCCCAACCCCCGATAATGCAAAAAAAACCAATGCTAAGGAAAAGTTGAGCTTCTTCGCCAGCAAAATGGCTGAAATGTTTGCACTCTTCTGTCTCTCTCACTTGTCCCTCTCCCCCCTTGGTTACAGCCTCCCGCAATTATGGCTTGGCTTTATGACCCGGAGGGCCCAAACTCACCCCCCGGGAGCATTTGCTCATGCTCCACGGCTGAACAAGCTGTTGGGGTAGGGTTGTTATATGACTTGAGTCGCGACCGACTTGCGTCGGCGAAAATGCAAATGACTTGAGTCGGCACCGACTCGCATCGGAAAAATTATGAGTCGGAATGAACGGATTGAAATGTTAACGATTCAATTCGTAAACGACGCGAGTCGTCAAACGATTTGAGTCGGAATGGAAATCAGTCGGATGGAACGACTTGAAATCGCGACGACGCAAGTCGCCGACGACTCAAGTCGTTTGCGTTTTCAAGTCGTCGGAAGTGAATTTATGCAAATATATGTTGATGGAAATAAACTTGATCGACCCACTATATGCTTGTCTGGACGGGGGAGACAACTTCGCACCACCCTTTACGCTACGATAGGACAACAGATCAGGTCTCACCGACCCTCTTCCATAGAAAGCTGTACCAAAACTACCGTAAATAAAGGCATTGGTAAAGCTCGAGATGACGGAGCCCAAGGAGTCGGGAGCTCAGGGAGCTCAGGGCGCTTCTGCAGGTATATTAAAATACCAAAAATGTTAATTTTGAAGTGTCATACTATTCTGAGTATATTACTACAAGATTTAATACGATTTACGGCTTTTCTACAGTTATGCTGCAAAACCAAATAGGGACTAAAATCGCAGCGCGAAGCGGCCTTTTTCCACTAGTTCACGGAAAAACAGTTTGCGTACAGCTTTCTATGGAAGAGGGTCGGTGAGACCTGATCTGTTGTCCTATCGTAGCGTAAAGGGTGGTGCGACGTTGTCTCCCCCGTTCAGACAAGCATAGAGTTGGTCGATCAAGTTTATTTCCATCAACATATATTTGCATAAATTCACTTCCGACGACTTGAAAACGCAAACGACTTGAGTCGTCGGCGACTTGCGTCGTCGCGATTTCAAGTCGTTCCATCCGACTAATTTCCATTCCGACTCAAATCGTTTGGCGACTCGCGTCGGGGTGCGATTTGAATCGCGCCGATTTTAAATCGCAAGTCACGGTTTTAAAAGCATACGATTCAGTTGTCAGTCGACTCCAGTCGTTTGCGAATTGAATCGTCAACATTTCAATCCGTCCCTTCCGATTCATAATTTTTCCGACGCAAATCGGTGCCGACTCAAGTCATATTACAACCCTATGTTGGGGATTTTGTGGAAGATCTTGGAGTGATTTTTAGAAGCTGTTGGGTCTTTGGTTTTTGATTTTTCCGGGATTTTTTCCATTTTGCAAATTTCTATGGTATATGAGTCACCTTCCCGGCTGCCAACTGCAAGCCGAAATTTTCTCATTGACGCATTATCTTCAGGAGTTTTCGAAATTTTCGTTCTGAAAGTTTTGCAAATTTCTGTTGCTCACGCTCATTCTCACCCTCGATTTGTCACTCCCTTGTCATATAATTTTATTTTTCTCGTTCTCGCTCTCATTCAGGCTCACCCGTTCTCTCTCACTCACTCACTACTCTCGTTCTCGCCCTCGCTCTCTCTCTCTCACTCTCTCGCTCTCTCTCTCTCGCTTTCTCTCTCTGTCATTATCTCTGTCATTATCTCTGGCTCCTTTAGCCATCTTTGTCTTCGAGCTCACTTTCTCGGCCCTCTCACTCTCTCTCCCATTGCCTTGCTCTCTGGCCCTCGAATCCATGGTCTCTTACTCTCGTGCTCCATCCTGCTCCTCCGTCTCGGTTCATTTCAAGCTTTTCGTCGTGCTCCCGCTATCTCTCCATGGCCTCTCTCTCTCTCTCTCTCTCTAACCCTCTCCATTTCAGTCTCTCCCTTCTCTTCATTCTGATGGGTTCTTCGTGATGCCCATTGATGGCTGTGATGCGAGGTGATGGTGTGGATATGTCTTTCCGTCTCCCTTCTGCTCTTCCTGCTCTCTCATCGAGCAGATGCCGGTACATTTTTCGGTCAGCCACCCCTCCCGATGAGTCTCGGCAAAGTGTGGACGAGACTTTGTGTTGCACCACTGTCGCTTGGGAAATGGTTCCTCAAGGGTCTTTGCTAGCTTGCCTAGGTCCAAAAATGTTCCTTAAAGATCTCTGCTAGCTCGCCTAGGGCTCTAAAGGTTCCTTAGAGATCTGTGCTAGCATGCCTACGCTCCAGATTCTCTCAAGGATCTCGCCTAGAACTGCAGAGTTCACTAAGGATCTCTGCTAGCTTGCCTAGGGCTCTAGCATTCCTTAAGGTTCTCTGCTAGCTTGCCTAAGGCTCTAAAGGTTCCTCAAATATCTCCGCTAGCTCACGCATGTTCAGACTAATTCCTAAGGAGTTTCAGCTAGCTTCCTCTGCCTATTTCTGCCTTCACGGTCCCTTTAAGACTTCGTGTAGCACCCAGATTTAACATACCGATTGTCCTTTCGAAACTATGTCGCGTCGAACAACCACAAGTACCAAACAAACCGTGTCCAGTCAAAAAATTGTCCCCCGTCAACTCGTTGTTCATCTACCTACCGAAATCGTCGATTTTTTTCAGGCACCTTCAAATATAACCGGTGCTACTCGTGTATGTCCGAGACGTACAAACCCTTCTACTATGGCGGGTTGGATAGGTGAGTCTTTCTCTCGCTCTCTCTCTCTCGCTCTCTCTCTCTCTCGCTCTCCCTCTATCTACCTATCGTTCTCTCGCAAATACAGGATTTTTCAGGCATTTCACCGAACCCAAGAATTTTACTGATTTTTGCGACGACCCGCGACCGGATGTGCCAATCGATGTGGTGGCCTGCCGGACGATATGCTTAACGGTTTATCAGGAGCTGGTTATACTAGGTGAGTCCCTCGTTTCTCTCGCTCTCTCTCTCTCTCTCTCTTTATCTCTGTTATTCAGGCCAACGCACCGGTCGACGACTTACTATGCGTGGATGTGCCACCACCCTGGCAAGAAAAGGCATCTACAATCACACACTGGCTCTTTTTGATCGGTAATTGACACTTTACTGGTCCTTTAAAGAACGACGTGTTTTTAAGGTTTGATGTTTGCCGGGATATGAATGCCGCCGATCTGTTTCGACATGAGGTGCGAGGAGATTCTCAACGAGTGCGGGTGTGCAGCTGTCTTGGCGACAGGTAGGGAGGAGCTTGGTTGTTAAAGGGGGTGTGAAGGGAGAGAATCCATAGATATTTTTTCGAAGACAGTGAGAACGAGAGAGAGAGAGAGAGACAGAGAGAGAGAGAGTCAGACGACCAGATAGCGAGATAGAAAACAGAGGAGCATGAGAGACAGTTTGATAGTGAGATGGATAGGGAGCGCGCAAGTGAGAGAAACAGAGAGAGAGAGAGAGAGAGAGAGAGAGAGAGAAAGCCAGAGAGAGAAAGAGAAGGAGAAAGAGCGCACAATAATTTTACATTTTTTTCAGATGCAACCACACATCCAGCCCTCTTCTCAACGTACCTTTGTTGATATTTATTTTCCTTTTTTCATTATTACGTTAGCTTGAAATTCATTCAAATTTATTAAAACTATTCCATTCCAAATTCCCAGCCCATTTTTCGCATTGATTCGAGGCCTTCCAACCCTAAAAATCGTTATAATTTATTCAAATTATGCCAATTTTTAAAAAACAATTTTCTATTAATTTTAAGCTATTTTGAGCTTTTTGAAGGTGTATTTAGTATATTCCCGTAATCCATCCTCAACAACGTTGACCAAATGATTGAAATGGCCCGGTTTTACTTCGCTATTCGTCCCGCTCCTCGTCTATCAGCCCCATTGCTCATTTTATCCAATTATTCCGAATTTTTCCGATAGTTCCGATCTTCCACCAGCTTCTGGCGTACTGTACCCCCTAAACAAATTTTTGAGTGCCAAATTTATTTTTCTTGTTGTTCTCTCCGTCGCGTCACGCGTTTGGCGCGTGTTTTTGCCTGAGATTTCTAAATATTGATTGATTGACTGGAATAAATGCAGAAATGATTGAAAAATTTGAGTACTGTCGAAACTTTCCTAGAGAATTCCATTCTCTAGGTGCAGTTTCGAGGATTTAATTATGTGGTGTAATGGGGTTGGCAATATGCCAGGTGGTCCCGCCGCGATGACCGTATGGGAGCGGGCTGTGCGGCGCCCTCTCGGCCCTCTGGCGATTATTCGGGTTCTTCCCGGATAACTCGTTTCTTCTCTCCCGAAAGGGATTGGAGGCCAGTGATGGTTTCGGCCTGAACTGGAGAAGGTCTGTGAGCCTGGAAGTGGTTTACCACTGAAGGGGCGCAGTAAACCACTGGCGAGTGCATCCTTTCGACACCCTGAACATTCTCGTTCGCCCTGCCCTCGACATTGTCTTATCCTCAGACACCCTTTATCCGTGCCCTATATATTCGCCACTGTTCTCTACTAATAAACATGTTCTCTAATCCATTCAGGTATATTGGCAACCACACATTACTGCCATTTGAACACCGAACGCGCGCTGGTATTTATATGGAAGTGGTTGAGGCTCGGAATATAAATGTGGCAACCTGCCCTTTCCTTTTCTCTTTAAACCATTTAGCTTTATACACTTTAGGAAGGGTAGGAGGTTTATATTTTCGATATGGTGCGTCGACCGGGAAGATGAGAAACGAGAATGTTCAGGGTGTCGAAAGGATGCACTCGCCAGTGGTTTACTGCGCCCCTTCAGTGGTAAACCACTTCCAGGCTCACAGACCTTCTCCAGGCAGGGCAACGGCAAGAGATTTTTGGTAAATCCAGAAATACGCTAGAAAAAGGTAGTCTTTGATGGCAAGCAAGCAGAGATTCCTATGGAAATTGGTCCAGACGACAGCAGAGATCGTCGCGAAAATTAAAAGCAAGCAGAGTTTCTTAGGGAAGATCCACTAGAGGAAACCCAGCAGTGATCATTGAGGAAGTCGAGAAATACGATGGCTGGAGAAGGCAAGCTAGCAGAGATCTCTAAGGAAAATCTTGAAAAGGGCAAACTAGCCGTGATAAAAATTATCCGTGAATCTGAACAGTATAGGTACACCAGCAGTGATTTTTGAGGAAATCGCAAAATCCGCTAGAATACGGCTGCCAGTAAGCAAACAGTGATTCTTCAGGAAAATGGACTAGAGGCAAACTAGCAGAGAACGCTGTGGAAATTGGGCAAGGTGGCACGGTGGAGGCAAACCAGCAGAGATTCTTGAGGAAATCGACAACGCGAGTTGAAGAAGGCCAACAGTGTGACTTCGAAAACATTGAAAGGATGACATTTTTTAAGTTTTTGTCGCCGCGAAGGCAATCAAGCAGGGATCCTTGGAGAAATCGGTAGGCGCTGGTTTTAGAAAAGTACGGCACAGGACGGAAAATTTACAGCGTTTCCGTGCGGAATTCAGGACAACAACGGGCAGTGGTTTTTGAGGAAAAAGCACGATACGTCACGCATAAAGGCAAGCGAGCAGGGACACTCTGTGGAATCCTGCGCATTTCGGTGTATCTTCTCACCTCACGCAGACAAGCATTGATTATTTTCAAAAACTATCCCCTTCCCCGATTTGCATTTATGATTTCAAACTCTCGTAGCTGTCCCATTTGGTGTCCTTGAGTCTCGGGTAGATGGCCCGTTAGCCATCGCCGTTTTTTTTTCTGGTAGCCACCAAGCCGTCGGGGCGATTTGTTGTTGGGGGGAGGACGACCTCTAGGAGCCGCTGTGGGGAGACCGAGAACACATTCACACACATACAGACAGACACATATACATTGCTCGATCATTCAAGTGGAAGGGGGGAGAGACAGACAGACAGACGGATACCGACTCAAAATGGATTCAAAAAGTTGGAAGTGATGAAACCGAGATCGACCCGACGGCGCCAGACACAAAGAGGAGCGAGCGAGAGAGCAAGGTAGAAAGAGGAAGCGAGAGAGAGTGAGAGTGAGAGAGACAGAGAGCGAGAGAGTGAGCGAAAGAGGGAGAGAGCGACAGTGAACGAGAGAGAGAGAGAGCGAGCGAGAGCGAGAGAGAGAGAGAGAGAGAGAGAGAGAGAGGGAGGGGGGGAAGATATAAGGCTAGAGAAAAAAAAGAGGAAAGCACGTAGCAGGTCAGAGAATCCGAGCCATAATCCCGACAGCCGAAATCCGGAAAGATTCTTCGCGCTAGCTTAAATGGCACTTTTTTTAAGCATCATTTTTTTTCTAGCGTGTCGGCATTTTAGATGTCGGAATTTCTGGTGTCGGGATTTCGGGATTTTGGACGACAGAATTAGGGTTGTCGGGATTTCCGGTTTGACTACCTTCATTATCACAGAGAAAGTTTTTATGAGCATTTTTTTACACTTTTCCCTTCGAGGTATTTCCGACGACAAATCTCAAAGATCAAAAAACCCCAAAAATCACCGCATCAACCAATGTTTCCCTGTTGTATACATGTTCCGAGTTAAAGGGGGGAACGTCCCTCTGGTTGTGGGCCCCCAGTAAAAGTAAGGGGCATTTTTACGAGCCGCTCCCCCATCCACCCCTCGGCTTCCTTACTTTATCTCCAGTTTTTGTCACCCCCATCGCGGTGCCGCCGCGGCTTCTTCCAACCATGGGGACCACCCAGGGAGCCCATTTTGTAGATTGGAGCGGCGCCGAGTGGAATGGAAGAAAAGGGGGTGAAGCCAAAGTTAGGCTTAGGTTAGCTCTGAAGCTATGCTTAACGAAGCCGGATCCAGCCTAAGTGAAGCCTAAGCTAAGCCTAAACCAAGCCTAAGCCAAGCCTAGCTTCTTTCCAAGCCTAACCTAAGCCTAGCTAAACCTAAACCAAGCCTAAGCCAAGCCTGAGCTAGGCATAAGTTAAGCCCAAGTTAAACCTAAGTCCTAAGCGATTTCTCAGCGAAGTCAAAGCCAGGCATAAGCTAAATCTAAGCTAATCTAAATAAAGCTAAGCTAAGCCTCAGCTAGGGCTAAGCTAAACCTGCCTTAAGCCTAAGCTAAGCCTACGTTGATCCAAAGCCGACGCCAAGCTTAAGCTAAGCCTAAGAGAGGTCTAAGCCTAAGCTAAGCCTACCTGGATCCAAAGCATAAGCAAAGCTTAAGCTTAAGCCCGACCTAAGCCTCTGCTATAGTTAAGACCAAGCCTAAGCCAAGCCCATACCAAGCCAATCCTATAACCTAAGCCAGCGAAGCCATCTTATTTCATTCCCAAAAATAATAAAGCCCCCCTATTCGTCCTGATTTCCCCCTATTTCTCCCCCTCAGACGTTCCCTTATCAATAAAAGCGCCGGACGCACTTTTTTGGGTACGGTAAAAAAGTGAGGACAAGGCGAGAGAGCGGGTTTTTGGAGGAGGGAGCAGACAGAGAGACTGGCAGTACGATATGGGCCGAGCGGCTCGTAAAAAGAAACGGACCTCCCGGGGAGTCACCCCGGTCGGTCCCACGATTTTTCCATCGGGCTTTTGCCTCTTTTTAGCTTGCGTTCAAGAAGGATTTGTGGCCGATTCAGTTCGTCCAAAAATCGTTTCTAAAAATCTTTCCTTGGCTGCTGAGCTTCCTAAAGAATCTTTGCTAGTTTGCCAACAGAATTTTCCAAAAAAAAGGAATTTATCGCCAACTTCCGCCTAATTTGTAACTGCATTAAAATTTTTGGTTAGCTTGCCAAACTTTTTAATTCCCCAAAATCCCCATTTGAGCACCAGCTATCTATTAAATTTACACTAGTTTTCGCTAGCTCGTGCTCAGTTTTTTCATCCTCCAGAACCTGTTTGGCTGACCCGTCGATTTTTATTTTTCTAAAAAACCTTTGCAGTTTCAAAATTGTTACTAGTTACAAATCTAGCTTTTTGCCTAGCTCTCTGGTTAGCAGATCCTTCCCGTTCGATCTTTGCCTCCTCCTGCTCCTCCTCCTCCCTAGCCGTGCCACCCACTTTTTGCACCATAAGACCGCTGGTCGAGCGGCTGTAAGAACTTTACCCCACCCCAACCCTCGTGCTCCCCGGGATCTATGAAAAATTGAGGCAAGGAATTGGTCATTCGACTTACGATTGTCGAGCTGAGCGGGCAGCGATCATTGGGGAATTTGTAGCTGCCCGGTGAACTCATGGCTCTCTCTCTCTCTCTCTCTCTCTCTCTCTCTCTCTCTATCGCTTTCTCTCTCTCGCTCTCTCGCTCTTTTTCTCTCTCTCTCTCGCTCTTTCTCTCTCTCTCTCTCTCTCTCTCTCTCTCTCTCTATTCCTTCCTAGCCCCCTTAAAACCCAAGAACCTACTTTCTCCAAATATTTCCTAAGAAATACCGAAAGAACAACGGCGTCTCGCTCTCCTCACGAATGTATGGCCCCCGTGACACGGGTATATGGCACCAAAAAACCGCCAGTTGTCCCTTCCGATTTTTCAGACGTTTCTTCCGGTGTTTGTAAGCTTGTTCAAAAACCAAGCCCAGCCACACAGCTTAGCTAAGCCCAAGCTCACCTAAGCTTAGCCCAAGCTAAGCTTACGCTAAGCCTAAGCGAACCCACAGCCTAAACCAAGCCAAACCGAAGCTA